GCGTCTGCAAACGCTGCCTGTTCGCAAAGCCGCCACGATGGGTTGTTGCATGGAGTTTCGCCAGTCGCTCCCGGATGCCCCGCGTGCACAGGCCGCAGAACCGCCCCCGCTGGTGCCGGAGCAGGAGGATGTCCCCGTTCCGGCGGAGAAGCAGTCATCCTGGGAGAAATTCGGCCGCCGTGGCTTCGACCCCGTGCTTGGCAATGGTTCGGTCGTCTTGATGGACTTTGAGTAGATGATGGGGCGAGCGTGCTCTGGCGGCGTCCTCGAGCCGCGCCAGTCGTTGCCGCCGACGGCCTTCATGCCCCACAGCGCGGTAAAGACCGCCACAATGGATTATCATGTCCCGCTGTATTGTACATCGCGTGCATTTCACACGACTGGCTGCCGGCGAACCGCCTGGCCCGCTAGCGGCGAAGATTGCCTCAAACTGGCCAGGCGCGGTAGCTGCGCCGCGCGCGCGAGTGCTCTCGCGGGGCGCCCGTGTTCATCAAGTACGCAGGGCGCGCTTTGGTGCAACGGGCGCGCCAGGTGCGCTGCGCGCGCGTGGGGCGCGCCACCCGCGCGAGATGCGCCAGATGACGCAGGCGCGCCAGGCTCGCCTGGCCCGCGGGGTGCGCCGCGCCGCGCCGCGCACGCGCTGCGCCACGCGCGGGCGCGCCGCGCGTGCGGGGCGCGCGCGCGCGCCAGGCGCGAGAGGCCCGTCAGGCCAGCCAGATGCGCCACGCGCGCCAGCGGGGCCAGGCGCACCGCGCGCACGCGCGCTCGCGGTGCGTGTACCGCGCTCGAGGGACGGCGTGGGGGTGCGCGAGCATGGACAAAGCCGCCAGGATGCCTCGGGCACCTCGCCACGGCAGGTGTGAAAGTGGGCGGGGCGGGGGGCGGGCGGCTCCGCCAGACTCGTTTCTGGCGTCTGCGGCGCTCTTCCGGTGTTGGCCGCGACGCCCATTTGATGCCTACGGTATGTAGGCGGTAAGGAATCGCGTGAAGTCGTTGTCAACGTACATTACAGGCGGACGATGTGCGGGTATTTTGGGATTGTGGTTGATTCCAGCTACGCATCGCGGGTTACGAGGGCGCGCGACGGTAGTGCGTTGCGGGCCACGAGTGAGGCTTCAGCTAGCGTGTTGCAACACTTGCAGTGTTCAAACACGTGTACGAAGTATGGATGTTTGTGTAAGCGATCGTGTTCAAAGCGGTACCCATCAGCGTTCAAGCATATCACCATACATCTTGATACAACATCCCGAGCAGCGTTCAAGCAATTAGAAGGATTGCATTATGATGCACATGTACTTGCCGATCTCCGCGTCTCAATCTGACAGTGATGTCATCGCCTGCACGCGAACCATTTGATGTTCTCAATGATTGTTGGACGCGCAACCTTCGGACACTGCGTGCGCCGCCTTAACGGCAATGTTGTGTTTGTGGGGTGCTCGCCTGATTTTTGCCGCGCGTCCCTGTATAACGTGGGGAGGAGAGGGAAGGGAGAAGGAGGAGGGGCAGGGAAGGGAGGGAGCTTCATACAGGGTCGCCGATTTCCCGACATCCAATGTCGTCAAAAGGTGACGCCCCACGTGGCGAATAATCGATGGACCTGCAGGAGGAATGGTGACATCGCAGACTGTCGCGGATAGTTGACGACGTCGAGCCAGATCCATGCCCAATGGATCCTAGCCCGGCTGGTGGTGCCCGCACTGGTATTCTAAGCCCCCGACACCATTTTCTCTCACACCGTGGGATTGGCTTTTGTCCCTTCGTGGGATTGGCTTTTGTCCCTTGTTCACAGCCCCAGGGCCGTGTAAGGGCCCTGTGAGGCTAAACATCGTTAAAAACCGCACGTCGTGTTTTTTCATGACGTGGGTGGATCTGGGTCCAGGGGTCGCCCCCAGGCTGATCCTGGTGCGTGTTCTGGCCAGCATTCATGTTGGCACCAAAAGAGCGAACATACCAAACGTGTACGCTTTACGCAAGGATGGGGGCGATGCTTTCTTCTTCGATCTCTCTGGGGTCTTCGGGAGCCCTCTTCGGGCGTCTTGGAGTCTTTTCGGGCCGTCTTGAGGCCATTCTTTGGTGCTTTTGAGGCCTCCTTTTGGCGTGCTGGAGCCCAGCTTGAGCCAGATATTGGTCATCTTGGAGGCCACGGAGTGAAGATTTGGAGATTCCAGAGGTTCTCTAGGTGCGTTGGCGAGCTCGTGTCCCCACGCCCCCCCCCTCTCCAATGCGGCTTCGGACCCCCAGGGAGGGAGAAAAGGGGAGGGGGACAGCCAAATGTCTCACGCGCCTTGTCAGCCCCGGCAAGCGGGGCTCGGCGCACTGATCGACTGATCGAGGAGCTCCGACGAAGCTAGATCCTCCTCCTCCTCCTCCTCCTCCTCCTCCTCCACCCTCCTCTTCCTCCTCTTCCTGCTCCTCCTCCTCCTCCTCTCCTCCCCTCCTCCCCCTCCTCCTCCTCCTCCCCCTCCTCCTCCTCCTCCTCCTCCTCCTCCTCCCCCTCCTCCTCCTCCTCCTCCTCCTCCTCCTCCTGCTGCTCGACCCTCGTGCCCAAGACCGCGGCCGCGCCCCCGCCCCCGCGGGCGGCCGGGCGCGCGGCCTGCTCGCAGGTGCCCTGCGCGAGTGCCAGCAGTACCGAGCCGGCGCCCGGCGACGGTCGCCCGCCGGCCCGCAGCCCCGCACCAGGTTCCCGACGGCTTGGCATCGCTCGGACGTGGCAGCTTCGGCCTCGATGCTATTTTTTCCTCATGGTGGTCCACTGTTGCTTTGTTTGCAGTACAGTCGACCCGCATATAGTAAGGGCGAGCAGCGTTCGGGGCTGCCCTTTTGCCTCCCTGCCCCATTCGGCCCATCCTTGGCGGCGTTCGCCGGCCGGCCTCGTTCGAGAGAGACGTTGCTGTGGCCCTCCAAGGCCTGTGCATCCCTACCGCGCATCCTTATCATACGGGTTGACTGCAGTTCACTTTGTCATAGTAGCTTTTACCTTAAATTACATGCAACGTCACGGAGCCGACTTTGTTTCTTAAAGCAAGGTTGCTGTTTAAACTGACGTTCAGGTCTGTCTCGCAACGCTGTGTTAGCATGGCCGTCTACTTGCAGGCGCTAGCAGATAAGCATGATAGGCAGGAATATCAGCAGAAAAGGACGGGCTGCACGTTTCTGCGGGCAGCGAACAAGCCGTCAACATATCCGCCTCCCCCAGGCCAGCGATCGAATTTGTTCGTTTCCCGTTAGCATTACGTATCCAAAACGTTTGCTATTCCCCTCCCAGAGATGGGAGATTGGTCAACATGTCCACCTCCCCTGTATCGGCGCAGCTCTCCACTTCCTTTCCTCTTCCTCTTCTCTTCTCCGCTGTCCTGGCCGCGTGGCCGACAGATTGCCTGGCACTCCATGTTTGTTCCTGCTCCTCTCCTTTTCTCCGCTATCCCTGCTACTGCTGCTGCTGTTGCTGCTGCTGCCTTCTCCTTCCTCGTATAATCCCATCGGAAACATTCCATGTGGAAGTTCGGCTTCTCACACATGCGTTTGAGAGCGTGTGCTTTTTGCCAACCCTTTGGCCCACAACCCGCGTTATACCCCCCCCGCGTTATAAACCTCCCCCCTGTCTTGCCTCGGGGGGGGGGGGAGGCTGCGATCTGTGAAACAGTCGCCACTTTCGAGGGCAGCTTGGGGGGTCCAGCACAGTGACGTCCTACGCGGATTCAAATTAGACCTCGCCATCCCTGGGTTGCTGCGATCTGTGAAATTGTCGCTCTTTTCGAGGCCTGCTGGGGAGTCCAGCATAGTGGCGTGCTACGCAGATTCAAATTAGACCTCGCCATTCCTGGGGGGCTGCGATCTGTGAAACCGTCGCCACTTTCGAGGCCTGCTGGGAGGTCCAGCATAGTGACGTCCTAGACCTCGCCATCCCTGGGGGGCCTGCGATCAGTAAAATTGTCGCCACTATCGAGGGCTGCCAGGGGGTCCAGCACAGTGACGTCTTACGCAGATTCAAACTCGACCTCGCCAGTCGTGGGCTTGGGCGTGGACGTGGGCGTGGGTGTGGGTGTGGGCGTGGGTGTGGGCGTGTGCGTGGGTGTGGGCTTGGGCGTGAGCGTGGGCGTGGGCGTGGGCCTGGGATCGGGCGCGGGAGTGGGCGTGGGCGTGGGCGCGGGCGCGGGCGTGGGCGTGGGCGTGGGCGTGGGCGTGGGCGTCGGCGTCGGCGTCGGCGTCGGCGTCGGCGCGGGCGTGGGTGTGGGTGTGGGCGTAGGCGTGGGCGTGGGCGTGGGCGTGAGCGTGGGCTTGGGCGTGGGCGTGGGCGTCGGCCTCGGCGCGGGCGTTGGTGTGGGCGCGGGCGTGGGCGCGGGGGTGGGCGTGGGAGTGCGTGTGAGCGTTGGCGTGGGCGTGGGCGCGGGCGCGGGCGTGGGCGTGGGAGTGGGCGTTGGCATGGGTGTGGACCTGGGCGTGGGTGTGGGCGTTCGCGTGGGCGCGGGTGTGGGCGTGGGCGTGCGTGTGAGCGTTGGCATGTGCGTGGGCGTGGGCGCGGGCATGGGCGTGGGCGTTGGCGCGGGTGTGGGCGTGGGCGTGCGTGTGACCGTTGGTGTGGGCGTTGGCGTGCGCGCGGGCGTGGGCGTGGGCGTGGGCGTGGGCATGGGTGTGGGCGTTGGCTTGGGCGTCGGTATGGACGTTGAAGTGGATGCGGGTGTGGGTGTGGGCGTGGGCGTGGGCGTGGGCGTGGGCGTGGGCGCGGGCGTGGGCGTGGGAGTTGGCGTGGGCGCGGGCGCGGGCATGGTCGTGGGCGTAATTAGGCGTGGGCGTGGGCGTGGGCGTGGGCGTGGGCGTGGGCGTGGGTGTGGGCGCGGGCATGCGTGTGAGTGTTGGCGTGTGCGTGGGCGTTTGCGCGGGCGTGGGCGTGGGGGAGTTGGCGTGGGCGTGGGCGCGGGCATGGGCGTGGGCGTGGGCGTGGGCGTGGGCGTGGTCGTGGGCGTGGGTGGGGGCGTGTGCGTTGGCGCGGGTGTGGGCGTGGGCGCGGGTGTGAGCGTTGGCGTGGGCGTGGGCCTGGGCCTGGGCCTGGGCGTGGGCGTGGATGTTGGCCTGGGCATGGGTGTGGGCGTGGGCGTGGGCTTGAGCGTGGGCGTGCGTGTGGGCGTGGGTTTGGGCGCTGGCGCTGCCAGCCGCCGCCGCCGTTGCCGGCGCCGGCGCGCAGGGGCCGCCGCCAGGGGCGGGGGGTCCGAACCCCCACCCCGCTTGCGCCGGGGGGGCGCGGGGGGTGGGTGGCGGGGAGGGTGGCGGGGAAGGGGAGGGGGAGGGGGGAGAGAATGGAGGAAAAAGAACTATGCACATACACCGATTCTGGCCAGGCCCATCCTGAGCCCAGGATCGGTGCATACGCCCTCCGACCTTGGCCAGGAAGGCATATGCACCGATCCTGGGTCAAGGGTGGGCCTTGCCAAGATCGGTGCATGTGCATAGTTCTTTTCGCCCAGGAGAAGTCCCCCTGGTTCTGATCGACGGCGCCGAATGTTGGATGGGGTGCCCCCCTCAGTTCAAACGCGCCGCCGGATGTTCCCAAGGCAGGTGCCCGTGAAACGCGCTGCCTCCGAGATCAGATATTGGGATATTGTCCTGCTCTCCCGCGGGGGCGCGAGCTTCGCGGCCTGGGCCAGAGAATGATTTGTCTTGTTGGGCGGGGGGGAGCGCGAAGATAACTGCTCTTCGCGCCGCGCGATGCACGAGCAATGGAGATCTAGTTCTGTCGGGCGGTATCAAGTATTCGCCTACACCGATGCAGGCGAGACCGATCCATACCTTCGGATCGGTGACGCACTCTCCTGGTCTAGCTAGGAAGGCATATGCATCGATATGCGGCCCATGGGTTGGTGCAACTTCATTCGTCAATATTCTGATTGCGAGTCTTTGATAGCAGAGTTCCGCAGCGGTTTGCTATCAGTTATCACATTCGCTTATTCATTATTCAGCTCCCCGGAATTAGGGGGAGCCCCAGTGGCCACGCCCGAAATCAAGTTCTGAGCTCTCCGTACTCTCGCCAATTGTCCGGGCGATGCTACGGAGAACTCATATGGTGAGCGTGTGTCTGCCAGGTTGTTAAGACCTTGACGTTCGCAAGAGGAGTACTTTCCCGCTTTCTGGAAGTATCAAGACGTCGTCGGCAAGGTGCCGCGGCTGCATCACAGGCATGGCATTTGCTAGGACACACCTCGACATGAAAGGCGCTGGTTGATGTTGAACTACGTCTGTGTTTTCACTCTGGAATCACGTTTGGTTGCCACTGTAGCCTTGTACCTGGTCAAGCACCAGCGCTACAGTTGTGTATGCCTACTCGCTTTGTGCTATCTGGTGTTAGTCAGCGTTTGCATCAGGTCTCGGGCCCTTCATGATTTGGCCGTTGACGCCGACCTCGGTTGGCGAGATGCTTCAGAGGCCTCCCATTGTATCAGGGGGAGCAGGAGCCAGGAGACACAGTGGATTTCGGGGAAGGCGTTGCCAATGACATGCAGTGTGTGCTGATTGTGCGCAGCTGCCACGAACTGGGTAGCCGAATTTGCAGGGTTCGCACATGGCATCTCCACAGTCTCTGAACGGAGTACATCTGCGTGCCGTGCGATCGTGCAGGTTCGCCAACCTCTGGCCCCGCGCAGTCTTTGGCACCTGGGTCGAACGCGCAGGCGCGCTGCGCAGATGGCGAGGTTTGCTCGGTCCTCTCAGCTCAACGCCACGCATCCGGTCCTGCCGCGCCAGCACCACCCGCGCCGCGCACCCGCGAAGCACTGCGGGGGTCTCGGCCTGTCATCCCTGGCCGCGGCGCGTCCCTGTATGGACCTTGGCGCCCCCCTCCTGACGATCTGGCATTCGGCAGTGAGTGTGAGAGCCTCCCCGACGGGGGTTCACTTCGCTGTGGCGGAGCACCGCGCACGCGATGGAGCCCCCTTTGCGTGCGGTGTGTGTGTGTGTGTGTGTCTCCACGACGGGGGGCGGTGTTGTGTCTGTCGGTGTGGGGTGGGGTTGTCGCCCCTTTCCCCTCCCATCCCCTCCGCAGCGATGTCTATGGGACCCAGGAGCCGCATACACATGGCGAAGCTCTCGAGAGGTGGGTGTGGCTTCTCGTGGTGTCCACAATCGCCATCACTCGGTTTGCGTTCGGATGGCGCGTGCGCTACCTCGCTCGTTGTGCCCCTTCGGCCTCTGCATGAGACCCGCGTCCCCTGGCATTCTCTCTGTCATCCAAGGCGTGGTTGCACCGATATCGTATGGCGTCGCACTGGCAGCCGTCTCTTGAGAGACTACCCCCCCAGCGAGCTTGCGTAGGCGGACGCGGACGACGACGGGGCGTGGGGTGACTTGGACGTCGCCGTCAGCAGCCACGGATTGGGCGAGGACGACGTCAACGCGCTGCCGTCCAGGGCGCCCCATCGATTCCCGAGGGGGGGTGGGGCACGATAGGTTCGTGTCGTGTTGATGCGGCGGCGACCCAATCGCGGGCGGTCAAGGTTGAGGTTGAATGCCGCCAGTGGCTCAGAATCGGTCAGTATGGAACGATCTGGCGATCGAACGCCACCGATCGTTCAAGGTCGAACGATCCACCCGATGTCAGAGGCCATCGCCGAAGTCGTCACGACACGAGCCCGCCGTAAGCTCAGCGCGCCCAGCAGGCGTTGAAACGCCAGAGGGCGGCCACGCTTACAATTCAAGCGCTTCTCACCTAAGCATGTATGCCTGCCGCTCTTGGCCTGAGCCTTGGCCGCTCCCTGGTGACGGGCCAAAGCCGCTTCTGCCCGCTATTGAATTGTTCGGGATGTTGATGCGAGCGTCGGGGGTCGCTTCCAGAAGCCTGGCCCGCTCCATGAATGATGTCGATGGTTCCTGCCCTGAGGTGGGACCATACCGCAGAACGCAGTATGTTATCGGGCCAATCGCGGGGGGCGGCTTGGGCCCCTCCGAGGGCCTCCGACGTGCCCCCTCGTATCCACCCCTGGCCCCTCGCGGGTCGGTGCGGGGAGCTGTCAGTGGCTTGTAAGTGGCATAGTTGTCAGTGGGCTGTCGGTGGTCCGTCAGTGAGGGGTCAGCGAGTTATCAGTGGGCTGTCAGTGGGTTGTCAGCGAGCTGGCAGTGGACTGTCAGTGGTCAGTGTGCTGTCAGTGGACTGTCAGTGGTGCGTCAGTGGTCCGTCAGTGGTCTGTCAGTGGTCTGTCAGTGGTCTGTCAGTTGTCTGTCAGTGGGCTGTCAGAGGTTTGTCGGTGGTCTGTCAGTTCACTGCTAGCTCGCTGACAGCCCACTGACAGCCCTCTGACAGGCCTCTGACAGCCCACTGACAACTCACTGACAAAACTCTGACAGCCCACGGTAAGGTCTCAGGATGCCCTGGGGATGGGGCCCAGAAGGGCGTCCTGGAGGGTTCCTGGGGGTTGGGCCTTGGGGGGCCCTATGTTGGCGTTGGTCCCACCTGGAGGCGGTGATCGTAAGTACGTTGTGGTCCCCCCTACTACCCGTTTTTCTGGTCAGCCCTTACTGTTGGCATAATATGTTGCCCGCAAGTGTGTGACCAGCGAAATGCGTAGACTGCCAGAAGAGATGTTTGGATATGAGTTTGGCATGCACGACAAGGCCACAGGTTTCTGAACTGTGGCTCCCCTACGTTTAGCCTCAGGGTCACCAGGGTGGTCGTAACACGCACTGCTGGCAGTATTGCACCACGTCCAACACGAAGCAAGCGTGCCCATCCGTTGTACCATGGACCCTTGCCCCACCATCATCTTCATCATCGGCGGTACCTCGCCCGCTTCAATTCGACTCTGCGCACACATAGGGCAGATTGTGCATGGAGGTCGCCGGCGACATCTTGAGACCACAGTGCTAGCCGTAATGGCTCGAGCTCTTGTTTCCGCATGCGTTGAGTGTTCAAGCCCTACGGGTGCGCGCAACGTTGGGCGCCGAAGGTCTTGATAGCTAGAGACAGTCTGAGGCCGATCAGGGCCGTAAGAAGCCGTGGTCAGTACTATCTTAGGCACGTGCTCTTGCGCCACATAGGGGAACTCTGATGCTGGTTGCTCTCTGGGGACCTCTCTTGCGCTTCTCGGGGCCGCGTGGGGCGGCTCGGATTTCACTGCAAGCTTCTTCGAGCCGAAATCGCAGACCTCGGCGCAGTCTGCGGCGCAGCACGTGGTGGCCCTCGGCCCAGCCTACTGCGCAGCCGATGGCGGACCTCGGCGCAGCCTGTTGGGGCAGTCCGTGGACGCCACTGTCGCAACTTGTGGCGCAGCCAGCGTCAAACCTGTGCGCGCCGTATGTCTCAACCTGGGGTGCTTCCGCTTTCACGTGCCGGGCAGGTGAAGATGATGATCATATGATGATCATACGATGATGATGATGATGATGATGATGATGATGATGATGATGATGATGATGATGATGATGATGGTGATGATGATGATGATGATGATGATGATGATGATGGTGATGGTGATGGTGATGGTGATGGTGATGGTGATGATGATGATGATGATGATGATGATGATGGTGATGGTGACGGTGATGGTGATGCTGATGGTGGTGCTGATGCTGCTGCTCAAGATGATGCTGCTGATGATAATGAAGGTGAGGGTGAATGTGATGTGGGTCCAGTTTGTCGTGTGATTGGGCGATGAATCTGTTGTGCTGTGCCGTGCCCTTCGCCGCTCTGGTGTCGCGTGTAGCTCCGTGCCGTTGCACATCTTGGCCAGGGCAAAGTTGAATGTGGTCTACGGGGTTACAGAAGGTGATGATTGCTAAGTGTAGTGGCCCTTTGCGCTGAACGGATGAAACAATAGAGCCATCCCTGAGCAGTACAGTCAAGCCGCATGGTAAGGATGGGCGACCTTCCCAAGGGTACCCTTGCATCCTTGCCTCCTCGGTCCATCCTTGGCCACTTTCGTCGGCCGCGCCCCGATCGAGAAGCTTCGACAGGGGCGTCCAAAGTCCTTGCATCCTTATCGCGTATCCGTACGATACGGGCCGACTGTAATCACGTGGGCCGTCTTGTCTTTGGGCGGTCTTCGGTTGCCGTGGGCAGCGTCGAGGATGTCTGAAGGGGGAGCGTAGACTAACGATGAATCGTGTTTCGAAGCAAGTTTTGAACTGGTTAATTGCTGGGGGTGGGGCGGGCTATATGTGTCTGTTTCAAAGGGGGGCGTAGACTGGCGATGAATGGTGTTTCGAGGCAAGTTTTGGAAAGGTCAGTTGCTGGGGGTGGAGTGGGCTGTCTGTCGCATGGGTGCATCGGGCAACGCGTGCAGAGACGCTCGTTGCCACGATCGGAGTTGCAGATCGGCGGGGCGGGCTCTACAGTCTTCCTGTGTCTTAGGTGTACGCTTTGTGACAGTTCAAGGGGCGCGGCGCATGCTTCAAGTGTGCTGTTTGTCGTGCTGCCAACAGGGACTGCACTAAATATTGCATGCTCGGCCATACTGTGGAAGACTCTGGGTCTCACATCGGTCCCAGCCGATCAACCGCAAACCTCAGTGAGCCCGCCATTCCTATCCCCTCTGCATTTAGTAATGCATCGGACATGGTTGCAGCGCCTGCTCAAAAGTCGGGCTCCCTAGGCTCCGGTGACAGTACCCTTGGCCCAACCAGTTTCCGCCAGGGCCCTCGCGAGCCTCACCACCACCACCACCACCCGGGGTGCCAACCCCAGCGAGGCGATCCACGGTGCCTCCCAGATGTGGGGATAGTAGATGTCTTGAGCAGGCAATGGGGGCCACACCACCAGGAGGACCCCCCCGGGCTCCTGGCGCCTGTGGTGGTGGTGGTGCCGCTTGTCCTTGTTCCTACCTTTTAACCGATGCTCAGACCCCACTCCCTCGCATCTTGCACTCCGCCCCCCAGGCGCTTACGTCGCCTGCGGACACTGCTGGCCTGTCGCTCTGCGTCGTCTGCCAGGAGGGCTTTGAGGTCACTGCGTGTGGGGACGGGGTGGGTCCAAGTGATGACGTGCGGAGGGAGGGAGAGTGAAGTAATGTAGATCTCTATCACTAAGCTTGTGGCATACCAGCAAGGGAAGTCAACGCACAATGGCATCGCTCTGTGCGGCTTGAAATCAATCACATGTCACACGAAGAGTTGGCCCACGCTGCTGTCGGAGTGCCGAGCCGCGGCTTCTGCTGCACAGCCCTTCACGCGCAGGCAGTAGGCGGATATGGTTGTAAGCCGCTGGCGGTAATATGAGCGACTGTGCGAGCGCCCTGAACATGCGCCTTGACCAGCCGGCACATTGTACGATGGCATTCGTTGCAACATCATCTTCTCTCCCTCTTCCGCCTTCGATCATGTTCATCCTTACTGGGAGAGGGGGAAGGGCAGGAGCGAGGTGGATAACTGTTCATAGTTGTACAGGTCCACCTCCTTCCTGTACAGGCTCCTGCCTCCTCCTCAACCTGTGCAGCTTCAGATTCAGAAACACGTGTATGCTTTTGAGTTTGAAGAGGTAGTTGCAGCGCGCATCACGCGTTCATCGCTCTTCCAGCATCGCAAAAAGATCCTGCTTCCCAGACGCACGTATCTGCCCCTCCGTCACGGGTCAGAGCCGCGCCTTTGGGTGTGCACGTCGCGTATGGGTGGATACGCAGAGGATGTCGTGGGCTCTCATGAGAGACGACACCCTTTTGGGAGTAATTTTTCTGGTGACGTGTTCGTGCTCAATCGTTTGTTGGCAGTTCCAGGTTTTCCCACCCGACAGGTTTGGGGAGTCAGTTTCAAAGAAGAGTGCTCCCGACGCGCCCCGCACACTGTGAATACTATGGCCGCCAGCTCCACAGTTCCCAGGGTACCCCGCCTCGCGTGTTCGACGAATGGCGACGGCATACTCGGCCGCCAGGCCCCAAAGGGGCCCGTTGCTCTCTGGGTATCCCACCTCGCGTCGAAGCAGCAGCACCTGTGCTTTGAGGCTTTCGCGCAGGTGCCAGGGCTTTTGGATTGTGCCCACGGGTGTGTCAGGACGCAACTCTTTGTATGAAAAAACAACATCGGCGCTGGTAGATCCGTGGTCGAAGCGGGCCTAATCCGGCATGGTCCCAGATCGATTCCGCGCAATCTTGGTCGATCTGGCCCACTGCTGTTTTGCGGGTGTAATCCAACCGACTCTGGTTGGATGGCCCCGTAATTTGGCTTGTGGCCCTCAGCCGTTCTTACGAAGACATCCCAGGAATTGTTTCCTAAGTTAGTGGAGGGATTCTGGCACGTCCTCGGGCGCGCGGGGAGCCTCAAGAGATTTGAGAGCTTGGTGTCCAGGCCCATTAAGAATCCTCAGGCTTGAGGGCTGAGGCTCAGGGGATTGAGCAAGGGACCCGGGGAAGCCTCTTGGGGGGTCGTTTTGGGGCCTCTTGGGGCACCTTTCGAGCCTCTTGGGGGCCTTTGGGGCCTCCTGGGGGCTTTTGGGGGGGGGGGCCTGTGGGCCCCCCCGCCCCCGAGCACTAAATGCGTCGGGGATTGCGTCATCCCCCCGCTCCGTCCAGAGCCTCATGGGGGGTCGTTTGGGCTTCCTCGCGGAGGCCGTTTTGGACGCTCCGACCGCTCGCGGACCCCCCCCCGTCCAGGGCCAGTGGAGGGGGCAGGGGGAGGGGTAAACCCCTCCCCGAAGGGGAAGAAGGGTGTGGAAGAGGAAACACCCTAAACCACCTACGCCCAGAGGGCTGGTGGGATTCAAGGAAGGGTGCGCGAGATACGAGGTGCATCGAAATGTCGAGTAGATACGCAGATGTCACGGCGAACCCAGACAAAATGCGTATGGGAGAACGTGTGCAGATATGCACCGGGGAAATGCAGACGCGGGGGAATTAGTGCAGTTTGGTTCAGAAGGCGAGCGAGACAATAAACGAAGGCAGCGCGTCGCCGGAAACGCAGCGATGTGGACAAGACATGCAGGCTCGCAACATATGGAGGACCTTCGACTTTCACGGGTGCAGCCCAGGAATTTGGCGGTGGTGCCGCGCATATTATGCAGCGCGGAAGCCCGAAACAGTCAACTTGGACAGGTCTGCCGTTAATGCACGCAGTGCACTTGTCGACAAGCCAGACGTAACATTGTTCGAAAAGAGAAAATAAAGTTGCGCGGACGCGTGATGGTTACATTGTGCACAATGTTTCAAGAGTGGTGTTTGCCTCAACTGCGGAAGCCTTATTGTAGCGCACCAAGTCTTGCCCACGGGATAAGGACAGGCTCGGTGCGCATGAGGTCCCACGAGAGGCTCGGTGCTCAGAAGTTGCCGCAGTCCGAGGGCTCCTCTAGCAGCCCATCTCCTACGTCTTCGGACACCTGTGACAGTGACAGTGTGCAGTCGGAAATCGGATCGGTGACGGGGAATCAGTGTCGTGTGTTCTTTTGGGATTGGTCTGAATAGCGTCGCAGGGGCGATTTAGGGTGCAACTCTTGTCAGGTTGCATTCAGCATCGACGCTGGTTTACGTATCCGTGGTCGGAAACCAGCCTAGTTTGGCATAGTCCTCCTCAGTCCGGCTTATGCGTAGTCCGGCTCATTCCCAGATTGATCCAGCCTAGTGGCCCCATCATCGGGCTTCATAGCCCTCAACCGTTGTTACGAAGATTTCCCAAGAGTTGTGCCCTTGGTTGTTGCAGTCTCCCATCCTCCACGAGATTGATCTGGCGCGTAGATGTCGTTACCCTGGCTACACACACATCCGGGTAATGGTAACGATCGTGCATAGGAGTGGGGCCTGGACCTCCATACACATCTTGGTGCTCGAGCGCGTACCATGGCGATCGCAGCTCCCCCCCTGGCAACGACCGTTACGGTCCAGGCCGTTTCTACCCTTTGCGACGCGACTCTGTCGGTGATGCATCTGCGATGCGCGTCGGCGACGTCGACGTGAAGAAAATCGGACCCATATCGAGCCGCATCGCCGAGGCACCGGCGACGCAGAGCGATCCTCCGACCCCATCTGCTCGGCCCGACTTGCTCGGACCCCACCCCGGGCAACGACCGATAACATAAACAATAAAATAAGACAAACAATATGCACAAGAGCGTTGCAAGTCAAGGTGGTCGTCTTCACCGACATGGGCGAAAAGGCTGCCCGCGTAGGGTTCCGCGAGAGCGCCCTCGTCTCCCATCCCGCGTAAGCCGCCGCGTAAGGTCCCGGCGCCACGTCGCGTGAGGATCCGCTTTTGGTCGTCGTTCACATGGCTTGTGTGTGGGCCGGGCGGCACGGGGACTGCGACAGGGAGGCGGGCCGGTGCGGCGGCCCCCCCGCCCAGAGGTCCAGGAGCGGATCCTGGAGCTCGGCTGCTCGCACGTCTTCCACCAGGCGCGCGGCGCACGGGAGCCGTCGCGCCCGGCTGGGGGGGGGTGGCGGCGGAGCTCGCGGCTCGGAGATGCCCGACGCACGCGCGTCGTGGAGCCCAGATCGGCGGGGGGTGTTCTGCCATGCTCGGCCTCGGGGGGCCCTCGCCGGACCTGGCCGTCAAGAGGCGGCTCGGGAGGAAAAGGACCTGGCCCCGGGGGAGAAGGTGGGAGCCTCCGGAGGCTCGGTGTTGAGAAGAGAGGTCCAGACGTCGGATGTCTGGGGGCTTGGAGGGCCTTCCTCGCTCTCCCCCCATTGCGCCACTCCTGAGGGCCTGGAGGGCTCATGGGATCCTGGCGGCGCAGGTCTTTCACAGCGGGCGACGCTGCCTGGTCTCTGGCCCGGGGCCCCTCACGGAGCCATCTGGCTTGGGACATGCAGCAGACAGAGGGGGCCCAGGGTTCGGGCCGAGTTCGTTTTTGGTTGCGATGCGGCACTCTGCGCGTGACGCGGGATCTCAGGGCTGTCTCTCCTCCGAGGGGCTCGGTGCGTGCGTCGTCAGGTCGGCCAGGGAGCCAAGGAGTTCGGTGAAGGAACTCGGTGTTTAGACGCTCCAGCGTCCCACAGGTTGTGCAGCTGGGGCGTCTACACCCCGCGCTCCTTGGCCGACCTCACGACGCGGTGTATACAGCGAGCCCATCTCATCCCACCTCTCCCCGTCTTTGTGAGCGGTGAGCGAGGAAGGGGTGGTCTCCGGTGTGGTCGCCGTGTTTGTGGTCGTTGTCAGTCTCAAGGGAGGACAAGTACCAGAATCACAAAGGTTCGGCGGAGGTCCGCCAGGGTCTCTTGGATCTGTGCTGGGCCCCCGTGGCGGCGCTTCTGGCGCCACTCCCTCGCGCGCCCGGCCCGCCCAGCGCCGATCCAACAAGTCCGCGCGGACCTCCGACAGGTTATGCTTATGCTTACGTGTTCGCGTTTGTCCTCTGGGAAGCCTGTCTTCCGTTGGGGGGTGCTGCCATCGATGGTCGGTGGCCCCGCGTGCACCCATCGGCCCCTCGCGTCACCGAGTTGCTGGTCTTGCGGCAGCTGAGAGGAGCTTGTTTTGGGGGGCTCGAGCTGCCACCATGGCCGTCGTCGTGATCGTGACCGTCGCGGTTGTCGTCGTCGTGGTCGTCGTGGCCATCGTCGTCGTCGTGGAAGTCGTCGTCGTCGTCGTCGTGGTCGTTGTTGTCGTCGTCGTCGTCGTTGTGGTCCTCGTGATCGTCGGTGTGGTCGTCGTCGTCGTGGTGGTCGCCGCGTCCGTCCTCGGCCTCCGTGGCCGCAGAGGGCCCGGGGGCGGGCGCCCCCCCGGGTGCGTGCTCCACATGGGGGTCTCCAGGCGTGCTGTGTGTGTGCAGCGGGCGACCTCTCGCTCCCCCCGTCCCGTGAGCCCCTGCCTCCCGCAGAATCCGACAAGACCGGGCCGCGTACTCCAAGTCCCTTATTAGTCGACCCCCGCCTTCAAAAACCGGACCCCCTTCAAAATGCGACCTAATATTCCGGACCCCCTTCTTCGACGGGGCGCCTTAATAAACGGGACACCCTAAGCTCCAATCCAAAGAACGCGCCCGAATAAACCAGACCCCCCAGTTACTAAAAAAGGCGCCTTAAAAAACCGGACCCGGGGGACGATTGATAAGGGATTCGGAGTAGAAAAGAGTGGGAAGTCCGCGGGGAGAATTACAGTGGAGACCCATGCCAAGAAGCACGCTGCTTGCCTCCAGGGTGCCCTGGGTTTCTGGGGCTTCGATGGTTTCGCGATGGAAAGCGTGACGTTCCCACACCAAACATCGATGGACGTCCTAGGGTCTCAGGGTTGGGTTTCTTGTGGACGGTTTCTTGTGGAGTGGGCCCTACTGTACGCCCCCAGTGGGGTGGGGTGCTCTTCGGACGGACCCCGTGTTTCGAGGACGGGCCCTCCCGCGGCATCCGTCCCCCCAGCTGGGCCCCGGCCTCTGGCCCGGCCAGGGGTCCCGCACAGTCGGGGACTGGGGTCGCCGCGCCCTTCGCTGGCACCGCAGGCCGGGCGGCCTGGCGCGCGGGGCGCTGCCGCGGGGGAGAGCGGCCACAGGTAAAGGGTGTGGCCTTTCGCCGGAGTGACCTGCTGCTGCGGGCGCACGGGGGCACCCCGATGGCCGAAGGCGACGCGGCAGCAGCGGCTTGCGCACTCGGGGTTGGCCTCCCCGCGCGCCCCCGAAAGCCGCGCATTAAAGGGCACGCTTGCCTGGGGTCACTCCTGCGCGCAGTCGAGGAGAGCAGACGCCGAGGTCCACGGAGGCCAGGACGAGAAAGCGACAGGAGCAGGGCGGCGAAGCCCTGCCAGCATCGGGCGCTGCTCCCCTGAGATCCGTCGCTGCGAAACAAAATCGCAGGATGGCGAACAATCACGACCCGAGCCCCGGACCCCGTCTTTCCGAGGAGGAAAAGGTATCCATACGTCTACCCCCTTGCCCCTTTTCCCCTTCTTGGACCTCCAAGGGAGGCCCTCGTCGCCACCGCTGGATTCGCCTCGACAAGTCCTGGTCAGAACGCACCCCGGGAGAGGTCCGGGGAGTGGCGGCATCGGCACCCGTTGGTGTCCCCAGTCTTTCTGCGCCGAGGCGGCTTGCTGTGTGAGGGCCCCTGGGGCCCGAGCTCGGGCGAGAGCGCCCGGGGGGAGAACAAGTTGCCACGCGCGCCTGGCTCTGAGGGCCCCCGCCCCTCGAGGGCAGCCGCGTGCCTGCGACCTCGCTGGGGGGCACGCCGGCTGCCGCTGCGGGCGGGGCCCGCTCGAACGTGAATTTCTTTATTTTCAGGAGGAAAAGGAGCACACAGACACAATTAATCTTCGACTTCCCAGAAGAGATGGGAGAATATGGGAAGTGGGCGGGAAGACAGAAACCCAGAAAATATCGGAAAATATGGGGAATCTTTTTTTTTGTGTGTATATATTTGTGTGTCCTGGGGCCCCTTCGGTGGGTGGGGGGGGGATGCGCGGCACCCCGAGGGGCCGCGGCCCCCGCGCCGCGGCGCCTGGCGGCGTGCTGCGCTGGGGCGGCCCGGCGGGGCCCTGCTCGTCGCATCAAGCAGAGGCGAAGCGTCCTGGCTCGCCTATGTTATCAGAGCGTGAATTACCTACCCCGGTTTCGCTTCCAGGCAAAACCAAGTCATACCACGCGCCTCCCCGTCAAGCGGCCTGACCAGTACAGGCCGTAGTTTGGCATCGCTTGGTATCTCTTGGAAGCGAGGGTGGTCAAAAGCAAGGTAGGTTTGTTTGCCTCCTATGTTAGGCCGACCAGGCAATGTTCCAGGAAGCTCTCGTGGTTTTCACGGAGTGTTCTCAGAACAGTTCTGACTGGAACTGTCTTGTCTGAACACGTACGTAGGTTTTTTTCGTTCTAAGAACATGGTTTTTGTTATTCGAACATTTCTGGGTTCTAAGAAATTTTTGGGTTCTAAGAACATTTCGTGGTAGGACGGTAGGAATGCTGGGACGGTCGGTCCCTGCTCAACACGAGTCGGAGGACGCGCATTGGGGGGCGCGAGGGCTGCAGAAGTCGAAGGAGAAACCACACCATGAACATAAACTTTTGGCGCTCTGCGCGGATTTCTGATCGGCGCATGGGCCCCTCCGGCACAGCGCCTGGCACGCTCCGCGCGCCAGGGAGGGGGTCCAGCGCAGATCCAAGAAGTCCGCGCGGAGCGCCGAAAGTGTAAGTTTATGGCGTTTATTATTCTTCTCTGTACGGCCCAGACGGGGCTCCTTAGGACTCGAAAAGGTCACCTAGCTCCCCACGCCCCTCCATGCATCGTCTCCCCAGTAATTTTCGCGCCCAAACGAGCGGCGAACAGATCGGGGCTCAAGAGACGGGGGCCAATGCAAACGGGGGTCATCCAGAGCGCCAGATCTTGCAGGATCCTGCAGAGTTAGAGCTGCCCTGACCCCGGCTTGGGTGCAGGATCCTGCAGGACCTTGCTGGATCCCGCGAGGCCTGACTGATCTGGGCTCGCATGGACCCGGGTCAGTAGATCCCCGAGCGAGCGGCGAACAGATCCGTATCCGGCCCCTCGCGATCTGGATCCTGGGGCGCGACCTCCCGCGGACAGGCGGTGGCAGGGGTACGTGCCGCGCGGAGCATCCGCGCCGCAGGCGCCCCGTCTCCGCGGGGCCTCGCGGCCCCGGGGCCCCGCCCACGAGGCCGCGGATGCGGATGCGGTGCTCGCCCGCGAGGTCGATCGGATCGGTCCGAGGCGATGCCGAGTTCGGCCGGCCCGATCCGCTGCAGTTCCGTCACTCGGGCAGCCGAGGCGGCCCGATTATCAAGCTCGGGCGGCCCGACGCGGTGCGATTCCCATGGTCGGGCGGGCCGATGCGGTCCGATGCCTCCGGCTGCTGATAGGGGTGTCTCCCCCCACGCCCCCGTCGCCACCCTGCCTGGGCGGTATGGTCGGAGGGAGCGATTGAGGGAGTCGCTGCCCACGTCCATGATCAGCCCGAGGCACATGTGACTAGCAGTGGTGGCACAGTGCAGGCTACTTTTTCTTTCTATGGTCTAGGTGTTCACCTAGTGATCATCCGATTAACGCGCTGTACGAACACTGCTGCGAGAGCGACGGGCATAGTTAGCCACATCATTACTGAATCCAGGAGCTGTCGCTGCCTGAAGCCATGCCGCTTCGGATGACGGACGCCGTGCTGCTTGCCAGATTAACTCGTGGATTCGCCCGACGTGCCAGATTCAAAGCATGCCGTGGTTTTTTGGGCACACCGTGGACCCCCGGGGGTCTCGACTCATTCCCTAGCTTTTTTTTGAGTCGTGTTTCTGACGGTCCCGGGGCCCAGCGAGGGCCCCCAGAGGCCTGAAGCAGCGTTACAATGTCCGCCGTGGTTTCTGTCAAGGCGACAGCGGACCTGGGAGGTTTAAGATCATCGTTCCTGCTTGGGGTTGTCAGCGTTGTTGGCACGCTGGAACCCCAAAGGGTTCTCAAGCTGCGACTGCGCGTTTTGCTCCGCCTGCCTCGGTGGCTACGGCTAGATTCGAGCCTCGGTGGCTGCGGCTCGCTCAGCAAGTTCGCGCACTAGATGCTTGCATGCATGCATGCACAGCTGCACCTGCTCATGCAAAACACGTGCCTTCACGCGCTGCAGTGGCAGCGAGTAGGGAAACGAATAATAGCATAGACATACAGACTCGGAGGTACGCGCGGATTTCTTTGGATCCGCGCTGGACCCCCCTCCCTGGCGCGCGGAGCGCGCCAGGAGCGGCGCCGGAGGCGCCGCCAGGGCGCCCCACCGCCGATTCGTATGTCATTGCTCGTTCCCCTAGCGATGCTCGGCTCACATTCGGCGGCGAGCGAGGGGGGGAAATGAGAAGGGGCGGGCCTTCTCAGAAGGCTCGGAAGTCCCCAGGCCTTCTGAGAAGTGTTCTAAGCCTTCCCCCGAAGACACCAAAACCTCTCAGAAGGCGCGAGGGCCTCCGAGAAGTCACGGCGCCTTCTGAGAAGGCTTTCTCCTTCTCACTTCCCCCCCTCGCGCGCCGCCAGCACATGTCTGATCGCACTCGGGCCGGCAGCGCAGCGACCGTGGCCAGCGCGCGCGCGCACCGTTGCCCGCCCCATATGCCGCAGGCCTGCCTGGAGCAGTGGCTCGTCGTCACCGCGAGGTGCCCCACCTGCAAGTGCTCCGTGGAGCCGCCGCGGCGCCCCGAGTAGCAGGCGGAGATCCGGGCCGCCCCCCCCTCCTCCTCCTCTTCCTCCTCTTCCTCCTCCTCCCTCCTCCTCCTCCTCCTCGTCCTCCTCCTCCCCCTCCTCCCCCTCCCCTCCCTCCTCCTCCCTCCCCTCCTCCTCCTCCTCCTCCTCCTCCTCCTCCTCCTCCTCCTCCTCCTCCTCCTCCTCCTCCTCCTCCTCCTCCTCCTCGTCGGGCCCCGAGGACAAAACCCAGAGTTCCTGGCGGCGCAGTTTCTCCCCACGGGCGCCTGTGCCCTGTTTCGGGCGCCGAGGCCTGCGCGGATCGGTCCGGCCCGAGGCATGCCGCAGAAGGCTGGGGTCCCAGGGCTCGGATCCCAGGGCGGGCCCTGGAGGCTTTTTTCTGCGTCTGCAGGCTCCGGAAGCCATTCCCGTGTGGATCGGGTCTCGGAGGGGGGGGGAGGCGCGACGGTGCGCTGGCCACGCCGCGTGGTGAGTCAGTGGAGTTTCGGGGTGGCCGCACGGTCGGGGTCTCGAACCGCTCTCCGAGGATGTCTCGGGCGACTGGGGCCTCCAGGGTCCCGGAGCCTAGTTGCGTCGGGCCGTGCGGTGAGGTCTCTGGAGGTTCCGAGGTCACCGCACGTCTGTCAACGCACCGTTCGTTTTCTTGGCCTCGCTCGAGCGTGTGCTTTTTTTGTTCGGCAAGGACCATCGAGGAGCATTTCATGTTCAACATCGAAAAATGCACAGGGAATGGACATCCGAGCGATGGCCAGTTGGATGTTCCGAGGTCACCGCACGTCTGTAAACGCACCGTTCGTTCTGTGACCCCAAGAGAAAGCGGCATGAGCCTAAATGTTCGGAGTTCCGCGCGGATTTCTCGGATCGGCGCTGAGTCCCACTGGCAGCGCTTCTGGCGCCGCGCCGGGGAGGGGGGATTCAGTGCTGGTCCAATCCGCACGGGCCTCCGACAGCGTGTGTTTATGCAGCTGATTGTTTATTTGTGAAGCTGTTTCTCCGTGTTCGGGCCTGTGGGAGCCGGTCCCGGATGAGGAAAGAGCCTGTCATAGGGGAAGGCCTCAGGGTCCAGAACCCGTTCCCCTCAGGACCTGTTCTTCTCGTCCTTCCATCTCCACCTTCCATACCTTCCGACCTCCGCGGAAGATGCGGAAGAGTTCATCGAAATTCGTGGAAACCTTTTTCGCAATGCAAGGGGACCCACGTAGATCAGATCGAAACAAGGGGCGGAAAGTTATGGTGGAAGGTCCGGAAGGATGAGAGGGAGGGATGTTAGGATGTTAATTCCTTACGGTCGGAGGAGGAGCGTCGTATGGTTTGTGACTGCCCTCTGGGCGCGGGCCGAAATCTCGGTCGACCTGCGTCGAGCTGAGGTGCTGCGGTCGGCGTTGGGGGGGAGCGCGGCAGCTTCGGCCACTGGCTGGGCCCTCGAAAGGGGCATCAGGCCCTGGGTTGTGCCTCGGCTTCGCTTTTGCGAGCAGTGTCGACGACGACGCAGAGATCCGACGCTCTGAACAAGATCGAGCGGCGTGTCATATGGCAGTTCGCAACGCCGTAGCCCGGGTTGCTCGGACGCGCGAGCGGATCGCCTCTGCCGCGCCGCAGTGGAAGACGTGTCGGGGGCTAGTTTCGCCCCTCCAGGGGCCCACGCTGGGTCTCAGGACCAGCAACACACGACTCAGGACGAAGAACGGGTCCTGGAGAGGCGGTCCAGACTTCCTGGGCCCACGCATCAAAAGAATTTTCAGTTTCCAATTGAGGAAGATGTCTCAGGCCCGCAGTTCTCCACGCGTCTCTGTGGAGTGTCTTGCGGCCAAGTGCCCCGTGCAGGCGCCATTCCACAGGGGGGTGGGCATATGCTGACTGACTGTCTTGCTCGCTCATTCGTCTCACGCCGAATGCTTGAGGAGAAAGAATGTAGGAGTATTACGGAGTCCCTCCACCCAAGGATTCAACGCGGGGGTCCCAATAATCACCTGCATCTTGTTTGCTGCAAGCAAGGTTCGAGCGAGCTGGGGCGAGAGTGAGACCAGGTGCAGATGACTGGGCACAAGTGGGTTGTGAATGTAAGTGCGCCTGGGCATGACGAGGCTCAAGTGCCATGCGTTCCACGTCGCCGTGACCTTGGGGCCATCGACAGAGAGGAACTGGGAAAGTCAGAGCCGGCGTTTCGCTTGAAGCGTCCCCGCAATCTGGGCGCGAACGACCCGTGCAAGACCCCTTGGCGGCTCCCTTTCGGCACGCCCGGGCGCCATGTTTGCTACGTCACGGTGACCATGGGGCTCCCCAAACAGCTCGCAAAATTAGTTGGGTGTCGCAGCGGCCTCGCCCAGGGAGACGAGGTCTAGTTCGGGTTTGCGTATAGCCCCTCGCTCCGCTAAACGCTAGGCTTCCCAGGAGCGCACGAAAATCCAGACTGCTGCGCAGTTGGCAGCGTCCAGAGAGGCGAGGCCCAGTTTGGGCCTGCGGAGCGCGTCATTTTGCTAGATCTCGCTCACGAGAATGCTTGTGCAACTGGCAACGCCAAGGGAGGCGGCGTAGGCTCGGTTCGCCCGACTCTTGATTCGTCTGGCTCGATTCGCCCGGCTCGATTCGCCCAGGCTCGATTCGCCCAGCTCGATTCGCCCGGCTCGATTCGCCCGCGGCTCGAAGCGCGGGGTTGGATTCGCCCGGTTCGACTCGCCCAGGCTCAGTTCGCCCGAGTCTCCATTCGCCCGCCCTGCCCGCCCGACCCGCCCCGTCCATCATGGTGCGCCCGCCCGACCCGACCCGCCCGTTAGGGTCCTCCCGCCAGTCCCGACTCACCCGTTAGGGCTTGCACGTGCCAGCTCGATGACCGATGATACGTTGTACCTTAATGTCTCGCCCGCCCGACCCGACCCGTTCGTTAGGGTCCGCCAGCCCAGCCCGAGCCGAACCGCCTGTCAGGGTCCTCCCGCCCGACCCGACCCGCCCGTTAGGGTCCGCCAGCCCGACCCGACCCGCCCGTTAGGGCTCGCGCGGGGTAGCTCGATGACGCGTCAAACTTTATGTCCCGCCCGCCATACTTTAATGTCCCGCCCGACCCGACCCCACCCGCTCGCTAGGGTCTGCCCGACCCGACCCGACCCGCCCGTTAGGGTCCGCCCGCTTGTTCCCCCTCCTCCTCTGGATCTTCCACGCGCCTGGCCAAGCGAACCCCAGCGAAATAGGCCCAGTAGAAACGAGCCCCGGCGAAACGAACCCCGGCGAACCGGGCCCTGGCGAACCGAGTCCTGGCGAATCGAGCTGGGCGAATCGAGCCGGGCGGAGCAAACCCCGGCGAAGCGAGCCCCGGAGAACCAAGCCCCGGCGAACCAAGCCTCGACGAACATGGCCCCGGCGAACTAAGACTGGCGAACCGAGTCCGTGCCTGGGCGGCGAGGTCTATATAGTTTGGGTCCGCGTACAGAGCGTCACTTGGTTGGATCTCGCAGGAGCTCACAAAAGTGCCGGCAGTTGCGCAGTTGTCAGCGCCCAGGATCGAAGGCCGAAGTAGCTCGTCCTTCAGCTGGATCTCGCAGGAGCCCACGAGCTCGTCGACGGCTGCGACCGCGAGGTCCCGCCCGGGTCAGGGGTCCACCCCCGTCCGGCCTCCTCAGGAGAGCGAGCAGGGAGGTGGCTGGCGGAGAGGCCGAGGCAGGGAAACGCGAGGAGCCACGGGAGCAGTGCTGGCTCTGCCCCTTTCTTCGGGCCGACCTGATCTCCCGAGCCGGTGCCGGCGGATGTCCTGCCCGCTTCGACACGCCCGGCCTCGTGGCGTCCCCGGCAGATGGCCCCGCTCGCGTCGGCCCTGTGGCCTCTGCCAGGCAGGGCAGGGCCAGGACCTCCCCCTCCTCCTGATCCTCCTGCTCGTCCTCCTCCTCCTTCTCCTCCTCCTGCCTCTCCTCCTCCTCCTCCTGCTCCTCCTCCTCCGTTCCTTTTCCTTATAAGTAACTTCTCCTGCTCCTCCTGCTCCTCCTCCTCCTCCTCCTGGGACTTTGGGAGCCTTGAAGTTTCTTTCGGAGAAGGCCTCAAAGAGGGCCCGTGGGCGTGCGGTGCACGCGTCTTTGAAAAGATTTCAGGAATGGATCATCGAAGAAAGCTCCCTAGGTGCTGTATTTAAGTCTCTGCGCAAGGCCCCACACGCTGCCGAGGAATTCGTTATCAAGGGGGAGAGGGTCTTTAATCCAAAGGACATCATCGATTCGAAGGTAGAGCATTGGCAGCAGTTGTGGTCCGCGGATACTCTAGATGTGAACGATTTGGAGAATCTTTTTGGCACCATCAAGGCTGCTGCAGACTATGATCCACTTCCTCCTCTCACTGTCGACGACGTCAGGGGGGCCCTCAGGAAGATGAAGGGTAAGGCGGGGATGGGTATCGATCGTCTCTCTCCACTCGACGTCGAGAGGTTGCCTGATGTTGCGATTGCCGAGCTGTGTTCCTTGTACGCCGCCATAGAAGAGCGCAAGACATGGCCATGGCAGACTATGCTAGTGGTGGGGAGGTTGTTGGCGAAGAAGTCTGGAGGGGATAGGGTGATAGGGCTCATCGCGATGTTTTGCCGCATCTGGAGCCTTGCTAGAGAACCGTGTGCTCGTGAATGGTCTGAGTCGCTGGTGTCGTCCTGGGATGCTGCCATTGTGGGGAATAGTGCTTTCAGGGAGGCTTACCTCAGGGTGTTGAATTCCGAGGTGGCAGTGCAGTTGGGAGCCACGGTGGGGCAGACCATCCTAGACATCAAGAGTTTCTATGATCATATCCAGTGGCCGCGTCTCATTTCGGCAGCTTTGCGATTAGGGTATCCGCCTGTGCTGTTATGTCTGGAGTTGCAGACTTGCTTGGCGCCTAGGTTGGTCTCGCAGCTTGGAGCGCACTCGAGGGCCTTTCAGCCCACTCGGAGCGTGGTGCAGGGGCTCAGGAACGGGACCAGGTTCGCTCGGTGTGTCACCTTTTTCGTCATGCGCAAGATGAGTATAGCACATGTGGGTATGAGTCAGCGTCTTTGGATC